AGACTCCTTTAGACCAAAACTGCAACTCCGACAGAAAGCAAAAACTCACCCCAAAAACCTTGGCCTTGTGCATTGCCACTGTTTCCAACAATCAGCAAACTTCTGGTTTGGTTGAAATAAACCCTGAATTCACTAAGGCAGATTGAGAGGGAGCTTGTGCATCAGAGTGGCAGCGAGGTGAAAAATCATGTAGAGCCGGAATATTTTCACATTCCCCTTGGTGAATTAAGTGTTTTCAAACCGATGCAGCAGTACCACAGCTATCGTCATTTTTATTCAACACATTCTTTCTTTTCAGAGCCGGCACTTACAATACAATTTGACTGAAGACAGTTTAGTCAGAGATTCAGGTTTGTTATGCTAGTAGAAGCTAATGTAGCCTTGAGGCTAGATGAGTAGCTGGCTACAGAGGTCTGGTAAGCTCACTTCTTTTTCCACATTTGTGTCATTGTTTTCAACTTGTAGTTTTTGAGACCCTGACTCCAGTAACATCAGTTTAGGACACAAAATCCAACTTTTTCACATATGCTATAGTACTCCACAAGACATGTAAACATTTGATGTGTAGAATCTGTGCTGTTCACACATTCTTTGAATGTTACTGATAAATAAATGTTTTATACCTGATCTAATTGAGTCTGTTCTAAATCTGGTTCAGTTGTTGTTGACAGTCTAAGACAAAATCATACAGTGTGTTGTTGAATGTTTGTGGTAGTTTAGATAATCTATTGATCCACTGGACGCCTGTTATCATCATAATTTTAACTATTTGTACATGAAAGTTCTGTACATTCAGCAATAATCTTAACTTGAGGTTTGATTGTTACAACTTGATCCTGACTGTTATGACTGAAAAATTATTTAAAAAAACTCTCTGTAATCATAAGTGAGGATGATATAATGTCACGTCTCAGCTGAAGTCAGCTAAAAAGGCTTTTCAATAGGAAGTTAGATCAATCAATGAAGTTGTGCAGGGCTTGCAATTACCCATAACTCTGTGTAGATCAGCAGAGATGTTTACATTAGTATAATTACAGTTTAAACTTACAACCATTAAGATTTTTCAGAAAATCAAACCCCATTTTCAACTTTTCTGCAATTTCCATTCAGTGCATTTACAACCTTCAATTGCCTCTCTATATAGTACTTATTCTTGTTGGTGGCGGGGTCTGCCATTCCCATATTGCATTCAAATTGCCTACTGTTCGAAAAATACAAAGTGAAGAAACCTGCAGACAGTCTGGATCTTGCACACCATCTGTGCAGGAGCAGTGACATCCATCCATATTTTTTGTCACACACACTCGTTCACACACATACACCCCCCCCTTAACACCCCCCCTGCAGATAATAGCTGAAAGTTAGACTCGACACAGATCAACATCACTCTTCCGCTGTCTGTCCACCAATCAATACTCCCCCTCCTCCCCTCTCCTCTTATTATTAGCACTAATCTATATCTCTTTGTCTCGATTTCTTTAGAGTTGCCTCCTTTGCTCCCTGTCTTTTCTCCATATTACATTAAGGACAATCCCATTTTTTGAAGGTAACGAATGTAAAATGACCTACATCGGAATTAGACAGAGGGAAAGCAGGCCACAGGAGCCATAGGGCAGTCAGAGTCAGAAGAAAAGAAGATAGAAAGAAAAGGAGAAGAGCGTTGATTGGAAGTTGATTGTGGAGATTTCACTTTTGCTGTCTTTTTTTTTTCTTTCGTACAAAAGCGACAAAGACAGGAGGGAGGAGGGGGGGGTGCACAAATGTCTGAGAGTCCTTGCGGGCTTCTCTGCGTCCACACAAAAACAAAATGGCAGCGTTAATAAAAAGCGATCACTAATGCTCGTCTCAGACATGAGGCCGCAGGCGTCGCAGGCGTGGAAACAGCACTGGCATTCTCCAGCAAGCCTTGGTCTTTTGTGGGGCCATGTGTCACACTCAGAAACTTCCCATCCCGAAATGTACTCCCCTGATAAAGGCAGAATGGAGAGTGTTAGGCTTTTCATTTGGCGAGGCCATTAACAGGAAAGTCTGAAAGGACTGGAAATGAACCCAGGTTTGCTCAGGCCAGGACGCCCTGCGCCTCTTCTGCTTCTTTTATTTTTCCTTTTTTTTGTTGATTCTTCCGTTGCTGACCCCAAAGCCTTGTTATTGTCTGCTGCTCCAGGCGCTGCACAGCAGAGCTGCAAGAGCTCAAAGTATCTCTACTACTATGTAAAAACACTTCATTATTGGTCATTCCAATTTGTTCTCAAAGTATAAGTCTGGTGATTAACTATATTTTTTATTTTGTCAAGAAATCCCATGAAGGGACTCAAACCAACAGTAAATAGTTTTGTGAGTAGTATTGCACCGTGTGTGTATCAAAAAAGCCTGATATCAGTCTGCTTGTATTTGTACCAGATCTAAACAGTAGTCATTTTATAAATGACTACAACAAGAATACCACACCAGAAATTGAAATATCATTCTGTTCTTATTGGGATTAAGAAATATTAGTTCATTACACCAGAAATAGCCCCCAACAGATTAACTGCTTCTTCCTTTTTGTTTGATTAAAAACTACAGCGATCAGCTGTTTTAGGAAATTACTGAACCTATTATTTTAAATGTAACAATATATTTTTAGTAGGAATCATTTGGCTTGGAGCTGAGAGCCACAGACAGAAGGTCAGCAAGTATTGAGAGTTGGACTAACGCGTTGTCGGTATCGGTCTTTGGGATTTGTTGACATGAAGAAAAATATAGACTAGGGACGCCCTGGTGGCCTTGAGGAATAAGGCGCTGACCATGAAACGCAACAGGAACCATTTTTGGATGTTATTCTCCATTTCTCTGCTGTTAATATCATAGCATATCATGCCCAAAAATGCTCTAAAGGAGATCACTCCGGTGTGATCACTTGACAAAGTGATGATGACACTTGAGTGAACTGCATTTGTTGATGAAGACTTTGACATGCAGTTTAAGTTTTGAAAAGCTAGGAAGTTAACCTTGTGAGCTCAGATCATTTTAAAAGTCCGGTGTGTAACATTTAAGAGCATCTGTTGGCAGAAATGGAATATAGCATTTTTTCATCGTTTTCATTAGTTTATAGTCACCGGAATAGAGGAATTGTTATGTTTTTGTTACCTTGAGCAAATGAGCCTCTGCATTGTTGAACCACCATGTTTCAACAGTAGCCCAGAAACAGACAAACCATACACTGGCTTTAGACAATTCCCGTTTTTTTTTTACACGTTTCACAGCCTCCTTTGTGCTTGGAAAGGGAGGGTAAGGTGAGGTAGTTGCAAATTCACCGCTAGATGGCACTAAATCCTACACACTGGACCTTTTAATACAAATGTTTCCAAATGTCAAGAATGAACTTCCATGCTCAAATCAAATTGATTGTGTTTCTGACGTGTTAATATAGAATTCAATAACAGAATAATTAATAATTCATAAATTAATTAATAAAGCCAACCAAATTTATTTAATTGCACCAGGATACCAAATTTTAAAAATGTGAGTATGTGTAATATCTCTCTTTATCTCGCGATGTGTTGTTTTCAGTTCTCTTTCTGGCTGGTTTTCGACTCTGTGAGTCACTTCCAGTGTTTTCCTCACATGTCGTCCATGTTGGCGAATGTTTTGTGTCAGCTGAGAGTACTGACAGCTTCACAGAGGATCTGTAGCCAACCGAGGTGGGAACTATTAGCCACAGCACTGAGAACTGACACTGCCAATGTAGTCTTGTCTGTGTCTGCGTGTGTGTGTGTTTACACTTCAGTTCACTGCTGAGCTCAAACAGAGGCGTGAATGATTGTGAATCTGAACACATTTATATATCACCACTTTTGGTGACAGGATCATGCAAAGATATCAGTGCAGTCATTCATCTAGAGAAGTCGATTTTACATTATGACATTGAGGTGAATGACTCCATTTTTACTATTTTAGTAGTTTTACTATTTTTCATATGTTTAAATATAGAAACAATTCTCTTGATGAAAGCATCATAGCAATTGTCTATACCTGCTACAGCTTTAAAGGTTTCACCAAAATACAGTAAAAGATCCTTCATACACTTTAAAATGATGGCCGTTTATTGTCACAATAACGTTAGTTAATCTTTCAACTGTTCAAGTTTTGTAAAAAGTTGGTTTGTAAAGATTTAAGTCTGTAATGAACAGAAGAGTCAGACTGTTTTACAAACAGATAATTCATGGTCAATGTCAGTGCCAGTTATCCTACGATCCAAAAATGTTACATTTTGTATTACATTTATAATAGAACCAGACCAAGCAATTGATTTATTTTGATATAAAAAAGAGAAAGAAAAAGTTCAAAACATACGTAATAGGATTTTTTTAGATCTGTCTTTTAAATGTGAATTTTAATAGATTTATTTCTCCAAACTTGATTTTGTGATAAATTAACAATGTTTCTTATTCTGTTATTGTATTTTCTCTGACTTTTTGGCAGAAAATCTTCCTTCTTGTCACTAAAATTTGTCGGATCCAAAATAATGATGATTAAAAGAAGGGGGAGTGATGATTGTGTTTTAACTTCAATCTGAGATTTTAAACTTTTTCTTTTTAAAGGACCAGTATGTAGGATTTAGTGGCAGCATTAGATGGCAATGAGATAAGTTGCAACCAACTGAATAGTGCTCCAAACTACAGTGGCCGCAAAAACCTCAAAAGACCCTACCTACAGCCAGCCACACTGGACCTTTTAAAGTCCTACATGTGAGGAGTTGGAATGAATTCTGTTAAAATTTCAAATAATTTAATTTTGTGACTAAATTGAATTTGCTTACTACACTGGTTCAATTTGCAGCGGCAATATAGATTAAGTAGTGCTAGTGTTTCCTTTATGTAATGAGAGATAGAGCTAAAGGATCAGTTCGGATTTTTAGTCAGTCTTAAAACAATACAGACATATGTGCATTAATGGTGTTACATGTTATAAACTTGCTCCTCCTCTCAGCCATACTGTATTAAAAAAAATATAAATTCTGTGTTCAGGTCTGGATCCATCTCAGCGCCAGGGGGTGGAGGAGCTGATCTCTGCAGCTCCGTGTCGCTTCGACCATGCTGCCCTGTTTACCATTTTACAGAAAAACACTCTGCAGCACCGCATGAACGACTCCTTCTCCTGCCTGGTACGTCAACACGAAGTCATCATCTGACACACTCCTGATTTTATCTTGATGTCTGTGTTGTCAGCTTATTGATTCTCCACGACACGATCAGAAATCTGCTGTCAGTCAAACTGGGTGGCCGGACTGATGATGAGTTTCTGAAGCCGGTTCTCTATTCTTTGCTCACTATTTACGATAACTTGAAATGCAAGCTGCATCTTGTTTCCTGGACAGGAGATTATTATAACAATGTATAATTCTTAAATATAAGACAAAATAACTTTTAACCAATAAATCATAGAAATGTAACACTTTTTATTTTTTTAATTATAGGATCAAATATAGGACCGAAAATATGAATATTTTTTAAACAAAATTTAGCCAATACATACTGTACAGTTTATTGCAAAGTGATTTAATGCGAGTCTCTATCAACTACATATACACTTGTAAATGTTTCACAGTACACACAGTAGTTCTAAGACATTCTGTTAAGCTGTGAGTGTTTAAATATATATATATAGACAATTATATAATCTATCAGTCGATCAACAGAAAATTATTCAGCAACCATTTTGATAATTATCAAATTTGCTACTTAATTATTATTTGCTTTGGTTGCTTCTTCTTCTATGATAGTAAACTAAATATCTCTTGGTTTTGGACTGTTTGGTGGTAATAATGACATTATTTTTTTGTTCAGGTAAAATAAATTGTACCAATGACCAATTAGGCAAAGAATGACAAAAAAAAACATGAACTTTTCAGCAGTTTGAAGGTGTGAGAGAGACAGAGCTCTCCCTCCCTCTGTCTCAATCTCAATTCAGTTCAATTCACTAGGCTTCATTGGCATGACATTTGATATGTGTTGCCAAAGCAACATTATACATATGTAAGAGACAATGTTAAGAAATTATTCTTAATTGACAAATATAAAAATATTAGTTATAGGCAGAGTGAGAATGATTTACCTAAAAAGAAAAAAAAAACAATGACCCACTAGGAGTGTCTGTCTCAGCAGAGACACTGCCTTCTGCCTGTATTTTCTTTATTCGCTGTGTTCGGGAAGTTTCTTGGCGTTAACCTTCCAGCCAATAACAGCGTGCAGAGTGTGAGGGTGAGACTCTTTAAAAACATATAGCGACCAGGTACCAGATCATAAGAACACACCCAGGAGGAGGGCCAGCACAAACCCTACTCATTCTGCCTTTATTAGAATAAAATGGATAATAAAATCAAATTCTATTAATATATATAGGCCTATAGACTTTAACAATACAAGACAAACAAAAACAATGAAAAGTCTTAATAAACTGATAATAACATAATGAGATGATAATAGTAGAGATAATACAAGACCACCATTAGTCTAACAGCATAATAATATAATCTGTCCCCTTTGTCTCTCTAAATTTAAATGTAAATTTAATGAGGTTTATTGGCATGAAAAGACAGTGCTTATATTGTCAAACCAATCTTAATAATAATCATGTCAGTAATAAATACATAACTAATAATGACAACACAACAGTTATGACAACAATAATAATGATAAATGTATACATATTACAGTAGAGTCACAAACCCCAATAAATAGGACATTGTAACACCGATATGACATTTGATATCAACAAGTAAACAGACAAACTTGAACACAAAAAGAAAAAACAGTATGAAGTCTGGTGGTGGATGTCCCTCAGGTTGTGGCAAGAGGCCAGATATTAGCTGCTGTTACGCTGCAATTTTCTTTTTCATCTAACTGGTTTTATTTTTGATATTTGTGTAGAATTTGGGGAAAGAATAATGCTCTCATTTCAGCATATTTGTCGCAGTGTAGCAAAATAAAATGTTTCTCTGTCTCCACTGTTTTCTGTTTGCACCGTGAACACAGCCTGTCGTCCCTTGTCAGCAGGTCTGTCTGTGATGACCAGCCTAGTGTTCTCTGAGTCTGTACCCTGTGTCTTTCTCAATATCTCATCAGTCACACTGTGTACTGTTGGTTTAGGGCCAGATAACACTCCATTTTACTATGAGTTTTTGTGGTATTGTCTCTGGGCTGGGCTGAGGCTCTGTAGGGTTGATAGAGAATCTCAGGACTAGTTGGCTCTTTTCCTGGTTCATCTCTTGGTCTTTTAGGGCTTTGTGGTGGAATGTTGGAGGGTTGATTGTTTTCAGGTGATTGTAGAATTTGATGGCTCTTTTTTCACTTTTAATTTGGATTAATTCTTCTCGGCAGGCTTTATTTGTGGGGGGGTTTTTCTGAATACATGCAAAGTGTTTTGATTCACTGCCATACAGAGCAATAGTTTCTATGACTGAATTGAATTTAGAATTTTAACCAAATTGTAATGTCTTTTTTGATGTTTGTTTTAACTGTATAGAATGCTCTCCTTGTCTTGTCTCTCAGGTCATTCACAGCCGTGTGTCTCTCTCCCTCTCCCCCCCTCTTTTTGTCTCTCTGTGTTAAGCCTGGGGTGCTCTTTTACACTGATTGAGGGTATAAACGCTCTAATCAATACTTTCCAAATAGGAACATGACCCTTATAGACGACTGCTGGGCTGACTCAATGGATGGGGGTAGAGAGGAGGAGTGAAGCCAAAATAAGTGTGTGGAGGGGGGTGGTTGGGGGGGTGAGTGTTTTTGTGTTGCGTGCACAACCATGAACCCCAAACTATGATTCACGTTTACTTTTATATTTTCACTCTAGTGCTTGAAGCTTTCTGTACACCAGCCTTGATTTTAGTGTGGTCAGGGAAAATAAAAACAAAACAAAAAAATTATGTTTCAATGCAGCTGCACAAGAGTTCCTGTTCCAGACATTTATGAACCGAGATCAGTACAATCACTGTTTTATACTTGAAAATTGCTTGGACTGGCGACCCATGTACTGAGGGTTAGTCCTTGCTGCAGCAGCCTAGGGTTCGAATCCGACCTGCGGCCCCTCGCTGCAGACACTGTCATCCCCTCTCTCTTCTGCCCCCCCTTGCCCTGTTCTCTCTCCAGCCTGTCACTATCAAAAAGGCAATAAAAAAAAACCCCCCCCCCCCAAAAAAAAAAAAAATAAAATTACTTGGACTTGACATAATTGAAAACTGCAAAACAACTGCATTTAGTTATGAAAACGCAGCATGAACCAGAATTACGTTACATCCACTTGACTTGAGACTTTTTTTAGACTGAGCGCTTGGTTCCACTCCTGACACAAGATGGCAACCAAGAGGAGGAAAAATAAGTCATTTGGTTGTTGTTTTTCTGTTGTTTCGATGTGGAATAAAAACAGACCTGTAAAAACTAATGTGTGTGTGTTTCCTTCACACATGCAATCAGTGTTTTGTTAACTTTATCCACATTCATATTGATATAGTCTAAAGGCAAACCACATTTGAAGCATTTCTGGACTGTTTTTGACCTCTGTCACAAACTACAGATAGACCTTGCTTTTTAAAAATGTATGTAGGTTTCTTTTAGTGAAGTGTTATTTTCACAGGCAGCTGTTTAATTACCACAGATCTCCAACTCTTTATTTGTAGTGAACATAATCATATACTGATCAATCGAGGCCCCTGAGTTTCATAGAACTACAGTGGGTGGGAAAATACAATCATTAAATCAATCAATAAAAACCACGCTGTTCTCTTCCTGACTACTTTTTATGGAGCCTACTGTAAAACAGTTACTGTTCGTTGGATTTCCAATTTCAGTCAGCTTGGTGAAGACAGTTTCTCTGTCAGCTAAAAGGACAGCTCAGTCTGAGGACAGTTGTGCTGTAAAACGGTTGGAGCTGCTGTGGATCAAACACGGCCACTTCAGTGTGCACCACTGATTTCTTGGTGTCAATTTTGATTTTCAAGGCAAGTTTATTCGTATAGTTCCTTTCAGTAGTTCAAAGGGCTTTACATAAGTCATGAAAGGCTTTAAGAAAACATATGAAAGAAACACAAGGCAATATAATAAGACAGCGTAACGCAAATGAATAGGATTTCAAAAATAGTAAGACAAAATAAAAACAAGCTAAAATATAAGAAGACAAATTAAAAAAGTAGAGAATAATTTAAGTAGAAAAAATG